GGCCAGCGAAGCAGCAGGCGCTCGGGAGCCGCGGGCTCGCGTGGCCAGCGCGTGTTCTCGCCCTGCAGGCACCAAGGAGGTGAGCGTCGGGGTGGATGAGCAGGGCGACATCTACCTGAGCTTCGACTGCCCGGAGGTGACCGACGCCTCGCGCTTCACGTGGTGTAAATCCTACGAGGAGCTGGCCGACGACGAGAAGTTTCGCGTGGAGACCGTGGGGGACCAGTGAGTCGCACGGGAAGCTGGCAGCGGCGACCTCTTAGAGGCACCCCGAGCCCGACTCATCGGCACCCTGTGTTCTTGCCTTCAGCTCCAAGCTGTACTTGAAGCATCCGGATAAAGCGGACTTGGGGACTTACTCCGTGTCTGTGAGTGACACGGATGGAGTGTCGTCCAGTTTCGTCTTGGATGAGAAAGGTAACGCCCGTAGGACACAGGCTGGCCTTTTTGGGTTTATCACACTTTCAGACGGTGACACCGAGATGGAAGAGACTCGTTTGCTTAGAAAATGGTGTGTGTTTGTGGGGGGCTGGGGGACTCTGCAAACAAGCCCAACCTTACTTTAGCAAGGAAGCAAACTCTAGAGTTTGTCTTCTACCCACCAGATAAGTCCCTGGTCCCGAGCACTTTGCTTACGGAGTTCCAGGCACGTTTCATGGGTTCGGCAAGCATGTCAGGAAGCCCGCAGAGCCGAAGGCGAGCAGAGGGGAGGGCCTGTCTTCCCAGCACGGAAGACCAGGACGACAAAGCAAATCTGCGGGTCGCTCTGGTGTGAAACGGCGTTTACCTGCCATGGTCCAAACCTCTCGCTCTCTCAAAGAGAAAGCAGCAGAAATAGGGAGAAGTTGTGTTTACTGCGACCCGGGGGAGGCAACAGTTTCCCGAAGCTCAGTTTTACGAATTTCGGGGGCTCCGTTTTCTGCCGGGCTCCGTTTCCGTGCTCCAGCCCCCTCTGCCTTTGCAGGGCAGGGTCGCGCTTGCAGGCGCTTTCACGGAGCCGTGAGCTGGAGCGAAGCGGTGGCCCTGGGCAGAAGCCTCAGGCTCTGCAGCTTTGGTCTTTGAAAGCTCCCAGGCCTTGCTGAAGGGTGCAGGCCTCTGGGACGCTTTAAAGCGCGAGCAGCAAACCCTCTGTCATCAGCTGGCACCTTGCTCGGCGGTGTGGGGGAGGGGCTGTCCCCAGGAAGCCAGGCCTGGCGTGGGGAGAAGGGGCAGATGGGCAAGGCGGGGGCAGCCTCCGGGCGGCCTCAGGCCCCTGCGGCTCGGACTCTGGTGGACTCGGGCCGGCCTGTGCAAATTCAGCAAGACGCAGCGGCAGCAGACAGAAGGGCCCACACCGCTGCTGCCCGGCTCCACGGTGGGCACGGCTGGGGTCCACGCACGGGCCTCTGGGCTGCCCGTCCGACCCCTGCTCAGTGGTCTTCAGACCGTTTTCTACCCACAAAACGTCCTTAAGGAATTACGCAAAGCGATGCCCTCCTCCTCTGCATTTTTAAGGCGACAGAGGATGTTTTCGCCTTAGTTCGAGATGGCTGCAGAGGTTGAGCGCGTCCTGCATGTCTGCGTGGTGCGTGGGCTGTGAACGCCTTTCAGGCAGAGCCTCGGAGCCGCGGGTTCAGCTCGTTCCATTTACGGGGATCCCTCCCAAACTGGGCGTTTGTCCTCGACGTCAAGCTGGTCGTCCAGACCGCGTTTGCTTCCCGTCGGGAAAAGTCCAACTTCTTTCTTCGGTCCCAGTAAACGTGCCATATGTGCCTTCGTGACCACGACCTCATTTCTAAATTCTCATTTTAAGAAGGAAGGAAAGAAGGAGGGAGGGAGGGAGGGAGGGAAGGGGTGAGGCGATGGCTTCGGGCGTCAGTCTCCCAGGACCCTCCGGAATGGTGGCTCTGCCCGTCATGGGAACTCAGGGCTCCTGTGGGGCAAAGGGTGCTTTGACGGGGCGGGAGCTCGCAGAGCAGCGGCCCCTTCTCGCCGGCCAGACCCCGCTCGGGAGCAGCTGCGTGGGGTTGGAGGGGCGGGCGCCTTCTCTCCCCTGCCCAGGCCTCTGCCCTGCGTGTCCCGCGTGTCCCCATCGTCAGTGGGCCATTTAAAGGGGAAGGCCTTAGTTGCAGGCGACCGACTGATTGACTGAAAAGAGCATTCCGAGGGTGAGGTGACCTTTCCCTTCCGGGTCAAAGGTCTTTCCGTCCTCAGTTAAATCGTGGCGACGGCTCTGCTGCTGATGCTCAGGTCAAAACTGATGAACATTGTTTTTTCTTAATTTTAGAGCTCGAACGTTTGATGGCACTGAGCAACGAGATAAAGAACCCCAGTAAGTGAAGCCCGGACCCCCGAAACCACGACTGCTCCCCGACCTGTGGCGCCCCCTCGGGAACTCGCGGGGGAGGGTGGCCCCATCTCGCGCTCCGGCATCCAGCCTCGTCACCGATTCACTCAGAACAATGTCCGCGGAGAGGGTCACCCGTAGACGTTTCCGTCACGTAGGGAGGGCTCTGGGTTTGCAGTTTGGCTCGACTGTCCCTCACCCAAGTGTGACGTCACTGAACGCAGACGTGACCCACGCGTGCAGCCCCCGGAGCCCCGGGAAGCCAGAGGTGGCCTGCGGCGCGGGCCCCGCACGCACAGCGGGCCCACGGAGCTTTGTTTTCCGGCCCTCGTGTCTGTAATCCGAGTCGACGCTCCGGGGTTCCACGTTCTCGGAGAATTTAATGACCAGGCTCGATGTTCTCCTGCAGCCTGCGGCTCTTGGTCCGGGGGTCCGTGTGTTACTGACCTGCGAGGTCTTCTCTTCCTGTAGTAATTCCTCTGAAGTCGGAATTAGCCTACGAGATTTTCGACAAGGGCCAGGTTCGCTTCTGGCTGCAGGCCGAGCATTTATCACCCGACGCCAGCTACCGGTTTATCATCAACGATCGGGAAGTGCCTGACAGCGAGGTGAGTGCGCGGGGAGGCGCCCCGGCTTCGCGGACACCCCGCTTTGCTGTGGTAGCCCGCTGGCTTGCAGGCCGCGTTCTGTGTTTGCTGTCGCCCCGTCGGAGCTGTAAGTCGGGCGTGGAAGGTGGACACGGCGAATGAGAGGCGGCTGGTTGGATAAGGGGTCGGAGTCTTTCCAATCCAGCCTGTTGGAATCAAAGAATGACAGACTATGTCGGGGACGTCGACCTTGGCTTTAGGGTTCGTTCGGGTCACGTGCGGCCGGGGGCCAGATGTTTTCGCTCTGTCGTGAGGCGTCGGCTGGGTGACGGTTTCGGCCGCGCTCCTGGCAGATGCGGCCCGGGGGGCAGACGCGCAGGAGCGTGTAGCCCTCTGCGCTGCGGACTCCGCGCCCGTGTCCGCTCCTGGTCGCACAGACGAGCCCCAGTCACCGCACGTTGTCCCCTCCGCTCGTCTGGTGTGTCTCCCCGCCCCCCGCCCCCCGCTTCTCCCATCCGAAAACCAGGATTTCTAACGGCGAAGGCGATGCCTTCGTTGACCGGAAGTCGAGGCCCGGGGTGGGGCTGGGCTTCATTCACGTAAAATCTGAACGTCGTGGTTAATTCAGGTGCCCGGTCGGGACTCGGTCGTCCCCTCCCTTCCCGGCGGGTGGCGGTGCTTATTCCGTGAACCGTCTTCGATCATCTGCCACAGCTCAGGGGACAGAAGGGACGGGAAAGTGAGACACAAACTTGCCGTCGGGGGGCTGATCACGGGGACGGAGAAATCCGGCCTCCGCTGAGATCGATGCGGGAAACGCGCCGGGTCGACGGCGTGAAAACTGTGCCGCGCACGCGGGATTCAGGGAGCGGACGGGGCGGAGGCCGTCGTCAGGGGAGATGCGAAGGGAGCTGGGCTCCTGGGCCGCTCGGGGAGGAGGGACTGGGGGATGCACAGCAGGGCAGACCCTGCCGCCCACGGCCGGGGCTGGCGGAGCAGCAGATGCCGGGGAGCGAGGAGGCGGAGCTGTCGCCGTGACCTTGGAAATGCACTTGGGGTGAGGACGCTGCAGGGGACGGTGCCCGACGCGGGGCCGAACCCGGAGGTCAACCGAGGAAGCGCTGTTTTGCTAATGTTCGTCTTCTACCCTCTGTCCCGTGACACTGGCGTTAGGAATTCCAAAATATAAACGTCCCCTTAAACGGGAGGACGGGCCTCGTGAAAACAAACGCATGATCTGTCAGAAGACCAGCCGTGCCCCTGGCTAAACTTAGACTAGTTACCTACAGATGGAAAACCTTCTCGGTGTTTTTACGAGGGCAGGATTCTGGGAGCAGGGGCCTCTAAGGGGCCTCTAAGGGGACGGCGGCGCACCCCGGGGCGACCCCACTTGACCTGCTGCTGGCCACACGCTGTTCATTTTCCTTCTGCCCGTCTTGCTGCTGGGTCCCCATTCTCGAGGGCAGGGTCGTAATTCAGGTCGGGAAGCCCCTGCTTAGACCGCAGCGGGGCTCGGTCTGCGAGGGGGGATGGACCCCGCAGCGCATGTCAACAGCAGACGCTGCGCTCGTCATCCTGGGCGTGGCAGGTGCCGCCGGCCGTTCGCTGAGCAGGGCCGCGAGGAGGGTCCCGGGTCCGCGGCCCCCACGCCCCCCTTCCCTGCGTCACCGCTGCTGTGACGATGAGTCGCTCGTGTGGACGTGGCCCTCGCCTTGGAGGGGAGGGGACTTTTTCTTTCTTCCCTTCCAGCTTCCTTGGCTGGTCCAGTAATTAAACTGACGTCTGACAAATTTAATTTCTTCCACGTGAAATGTGAGAGTCAAAGAAATGACCAAAGCAGGCAGCTTTTCTACCTTTCAGACAAGGAGACCGACCTGTGCAGCGGTGGCGAGACAGAGGGTTCTGGGCGGGGGGTGGTGAGGAAGCGGCAAGGTTTGTTGATACGGACTCCTCGGCCCTGAATCCCCGTCTCTGGTGACAAGGACACCTTCTGCCCTCCCGGTGTGCGGGGGGTGCATTTCACGTGGGTGACTTACCTCCTGCTTCAGGGGCACAAAGGAGGTCAGTGTCCTTGCTGCACTGGCTGTGTCTTCGGCTACTTCAGCCCAAAGCCACCGACACGCCGAAGTGGCACGTCCTGGGTGGCATGTCTGCCCCTTTTCTGTCTGCCTTCGTCAGACCCCGTATTATGCAGGGTGGGATGACAGTCCCTCAGCGCCTGTGTCTGCGACGCGGCACGCGTGACGAGGGCGCAGTCAGGAGGAAAGCTGAGCCGTGAACGTGTCCCCAGTCAGACGCCGCCCACGTAGGGGACCACGGTGCCTGCGTAGCCGCCCGAGCTGCTGCGGGCGGGGTGTGCGGGAGGGGACGGTCGTGGCTGTGTGGGTTGAGGGACACCCTGGACAGCCGCACGGTTTCACTGAGGCTTTGTCTGCAGGGTCGGGAGGCTCCCCGGGGCCCACGGGTGGGAGGATGTGCTGCCCTCTGACCTGTGAGATGCTTCTCCGTGGTCCGTGAGCTGCTTTCTGCCTGAGTCGTGGTGACTCGGGCACCTGTGTGTCCCCCATTGGGCTGGAAACCCGAGGTCCCCTTTGTGCTCCCCGTTGCCCCAGCCTTGAAGGTGGCAGGAGCTGCTGAGAAAGCATGTGAACGCACGGCGGCCAGGCCGAATTTGGTGCAGGACAGAAACGCCAGGAAGCTGCAGGAATGAGGACGTCCTCGAGGAGACTTTGCTGAGTGCCACTCAGTAGCTTCAGGACACCCCTCAGCTCAGCACCGTAGCCAGCCCCAGGAGCTGAGCGCCACGGGCTGACTTTCTCACGGGAGAGTCCACAAACATTTGTTTGGCATTTATCGCCTGCCAGGATGGCGTTAGGCGCTGTGTGGCGTTGCAAGGATGGGTGACAGCCCCACTCTGAAGGAGTCACCCGCTATCAAGGGAGACAGGCAGGAAGGCAGTCAGACCCAAAGTCCCATGCGGGGCAGGCGGGGGCTGCGGGGAGCCCACGGGACGTGCACCCGACCGAAATTCAAGCACAGTCCAGGAGTCCTGCCCGAGGGAACATGAGGGCACAGGGCTGTATCCAGGTGAAGCCACTGCGGTGAGCCGGGGACAGGCCGTGACAGGCGCGTGCTCGGCAGGTGCCATTCTGCCAGAGCCTCGTCTCCCCCGCACGTGCCCCTTATTTGATGTTCAGTTCGCCGAGACATTTAGTGGATACAATTTGTGTGTGTGTGTGTGCGCGTGCGTGTGTCACAATCCCTTAAGATATAATAGTCGATGTAGCTATTCAAAGCCAGAGATAAACCTGGAAGAAGGGATTTCACTGTGCGATTCTGTCTCCTTTCCAGACACACAGAATTAAATGTGACAAATCAACTGGCATTATTGAGATGGTGATGGATCGTTTCACTATTGAGAATGAAGGTACCTACACAGTGCAGATTCACGACGGAAAAGCCAAAAATCAATCTTCTTTGGTTCTTATTGGAGATGGTAGGCGATATTGAAATTTCATACACCCATAAAGAAAATTCAAAGCAAATTCTTTTGACCAGAGCCAAGCAAACATTTCGTGTCTTTTTTTTTTTTTCCTCCTTAAATATTGAATTTAGCATTCAAGGCCGTCCTAGATGAGGCCGAATTTCAAAGGAAAGAATTTCTCAGGAAACAAGGTAGGTGGTTGACTGGCTCACCCACCCCTAGAATAAATAAATTCATTAGAAAAACAAAAAATGAAAAACAAAAACCAGAGATTTCAGGTTTGACTGCTCTTCCAAAGGAGGTCCCCCGGGACGCCCTGCGACCAAATGCAGAAGTCAGGCCGTTTCTCATTTCTAGAAACTTCGGTACTTTCTGTTCTTTGCGTTTTTATTTCATCTGATTTTTTTTTTCCTCTTGCTTCTGTCTTTAGAAGCCCCAGAATCTTTTATTTTAGTGTCCGCATTTTCTATTACTTTCTGGGTCGGGCAGAAGACCAGTTGGCGGGCTGAGTGGCACATGCGCTGACTGACGGTCTCCGAGCACACGGCTGGCGACGGGTCCCCCAACGCCCGCTTCCTTTAGGTGGTCAGTCCTGTGCGTGAAACCCCGTAACGAGCACGTGGCGGCCAAAGCATCCAGGCTTCCGGCCGCCGAACCAGCTCTATTCCTGCCCCGCCCGGCTCGGCTTCCTGGGCGTTTGCGGTGGACGTTCACGCCTCCCCTGACCCCACGCACCCCTGGGTCCCTCTGACGTGCCTCTAAGCCATTCGTTTCGGGGTTCGTGACCGTGAACTCCCGTGTCCTTTGTAGGTCCATACGCTTCTCACAGGCGGGGCTCGGTACTTACCGGATGAACTTAGAGAAGGGGCTTCACAGCGGGTGGTGATGGGGACAGAGCTGGGGGAGTCGGGCCCTTACGAGGCTTCGAGAGGTAGAGGGGGCAGTTGTCTAACTTAAGACGGAGTGAACTTTTAAACTTTAAAATGTTTTACTGTTCAACTGCAAACGATACATTTTAAATATGTTGTTTTTAAAAATACATACTAACTAGATACAAAGAAAAATGGATAAATTTTAGAGTTTGAAACATAACCCAAGGGTTTATTTAAAGATTATTTTTTTATATGGGATTTCTATACCTTTTGAAAAAAACAAGAATATGGATTAGAAAATATAAAATCAAGGCATTCTTTTTATTTTTACTATTTCAGTTATTTTTTACTTTTAATAGTCAAAAATATTTTAATTTACTAATTCCTACATTATGAACTTTTTAATTGTGTAGAATATCTTTATAGGAAAGAAATCCATAAGTTCTTTCTAGCTCTGCTTTGCATTTTGGGAACGGGCTAACGCCGCTGTTATTAGAACACGATCTGCCTCTGCATTTTTTTTAAATAAAAATGATATTTTTGAAAAACACATACAAATTCATATTCGATTTAAAAATATTATACAGTTATAGAATTGCTAGGTCATCTTATCGCCATTAATTCTCTTAAAGTTTTCACGTACTGTGCGTTGGATGTTCAGTTAGACATATGCCTTGAGAAAAGGCTGTGCTTCCCGTGCTCTTGGTTTGGAGCGGCAGGTGTCGGGCGTGGGCAGGGAGGCCGGGCTGGGCAGCACGTCCGCACGGGGAGATACGGGTTTCGGCGGCGGGTCCGTGCTGCACGCACGTCGCCTGCAGAGCCCTGAAAACTGGGTCTCTCGGCATCATACCGAGCAGCGGTCTCATCTGTGAAAAATGCACACGTAAGTACAAATATAAGTGTAAGCATGATGTAAATATTGCGCGTCTGTATGCACACATACGGTGCACATGCGTACGTCTCTGTGTGTGTGGGGTGTACACATATGTACTATTCGGTTTTGCCTTTTACATCTCTCCCCCGCACCCCCAGGCCCCCATTTTGCTGAGTATCTGCACTGGGACGTCACAGAAGAGTGTGAAGTTCGCCTCGTCTGTAAGGTGAGCGTCAGGTCCAACCAGACGGCGGCGAGGGTCTCCTTCTTGTGACGGTGGGGCGACCTCCTGGGGAAGCAGTTGTCCTCGGGGGTGATACGCGTGGGCCGGCCTTGGGCTTGGTGGGCCGTGACGTCACGGGGGTGACGTGCGAGGGAGCTCACCGCGGTGGCTGGGGTCTGCAGACGGGAGTTCAGTGGCGGAGGCCCAGACGTGCGTGTCCGTGCTGGCCTTTCCGGATGCACGCAGAGGCCCTGGCGTGGGTCGGGGTGGGTTCCAGTCCGAGGCCTGCTGCCGGGTGTGCTGGTTGGGACGGTGACCTCTGTCCTCCGGGTACTGTCTGGCGGCAGGCTCGTTGGTCGACCTGCCGTCCGAGTTGAGCAGGGATGTGCGTGAGGCCGGTCGGCGTAAGTGGACAAGCAGGGCGACGGCCCCCAGAGGCCTCCGCTAGCGGGGTGGCTGGTGCACGGGGGCCGGATGGGCATGAAGGTGTAAACAGGAGGCCACCGTCGGTGTGGGACACTGTGATGTCACCTCTCTAGTGTCCGTGGTCTTAGGTGACGGAGCCTGGTAAAGAGGAGGCTCCAGGTGTGGAGACGTCCCCCGTCCTGCGGGGGGCACGGGGAGCAGCCCCGAGGCGGGCACTCAGCGAGGGGTCCCGCGGCGGGGCAGAGAGCTGGGCAAGGGCGGGCAGCCTCCCTCAGCGGCGCTGGCCTTGGACCCCGCGATTGCGGGACCCCTACTTCCCGCCGCGGGCGCTGGCAGGTAGTTACGCTCAGATTTCCTGTCTCCACGTTGCTTTTCCGTGTGGTCACTGAGGCTGAAGTTTGGACCCTTCGCATGCTCACGGTTGTTTTAAAGGTGCTTCAAAAAATACTCAGATTTTTTTTGAGCGAGTTTCTTATGCTAGTAACTGTAAAAGAGACAAAAACATTTATAGAAGGTTGAGATCACTGGCAAAGAGGTCACGAGGGAGAAAGACTCTGCCCAAGATCCGCCTTCGCAAACGGGAACACGGCGGACGTTTAGAGGGAACCCCACAGGTTTTACCGTGGGTACGCCGTTCGTCGTGAGAACGGACCCCACAGAAGTTTTAGAAATGTCTGCATTTATCATGTGCTCATGGTCCTGACCTGAGAAGCAGGTCCCACGGCCGGGTCCAGGGGGACGCCCCCTCCGTGAGTGCCGCATACGCTTAGGGACTCAGCTCCGTGCGTCAGGCACAGCACCATGCCTGGGCACCAGTGCAGGACATGCAGAACCCCCACTGTCTGGGGGTGCCAGTCTCCTGCCGTCACGGCCACACCACGGGCACAGCCCACCTGGAAGCCCGCAGGATGTCACTCAGCAGAACCAGCGCACCGTCTGGAACTCTATAATTTATTTTCTGCATCACTCTGCCGCGTCCTTATGCGACGTGAATGCAAATGTCTGTCTCACAGAACCCAGAGTGGTCGGCACCTCCCAGTCACAGGTCACAGGGCACCGGGACCTTTCCTCACCTGCAGGACACGTGTGTCATAGTGTGACTTGCAGTGCCACCCAGCCTTGGGATTCTGTGACGCATGGTTTCGAGGTCACACTGACATCGGACGTGAAGTGTGAGGGGCGTTAGAGCCTCACCCCACCGGGCACGTCCTGGGTGGAGGCTTCTGTCCCTCACGTAGCTGCATCCAAAATGTCACAGTGCCACAGCAGCAGCCACTGGACGCCTGAATGAGAACGCGTCGTGGTGTTTATGAGCTGAAAACAAGTGGCTTCTGGCTGGTTTCGTGTGAACCGAAAGGCCCAGCCACCTCCCCGGGCGGAGGGAGGAGGGCCCTGTCCGTCCCCTGCAGCCTGTGGGCTCCGGCACTCGAGAAGCCGGGACCTCAAACGGTGTCGGCCGTGAGCGGGGTGGACGGGTTTCCACGAACCTCTGTCTGAGGCCGTCGATGGCGGAAATCGCTTCTTTCTAAAGTCTGCGGTTTAAAATCAGAACAGACTTTTTTCTTAGGGGCCAGAGCGATTCACGTACGAAACGCGAGATCCCTGTCTCGTAGGTCGCAAACACCAGGAAGGACACAGTTTTCAAGTGGCTGAAGGACGACGTTCTGTATGAGACCGAGAGTCTGCCCGACTTGGAGAGGGGCGTCTGCGAGCTGCTGATACCCAAGGTGCGTCCGGCCCCGAGGGCTCCACGCCGGGGGCCAGGCAGAGCCGGTCCTGGGCTGCCACCCGCCTCGCGTCCCCGACGCCCACGGTCCGCGGAGAACACGTGTGCGCGTGTCGTGCTTCACGCCACGGCCGCGTTTTCCCCACGCACGCCATTTCCCTGCAGTTGTCCAAGAAGGACCACGGCGAATATAAGGCGACCTTGAAGGACGAGCGCGGCCAGGACCAGACCGTCCTGGAGATCGGGGGCAAAGGTAAAATGAAACCTTCTCTGTTTCCTAAAGAGACCCATGTCACCGACGGGTGACGTGTCGTGCAGACGCCCCGCTCCGGGGCCCTGGCGACCGTGCGCATCGTTCCTCCAGCGGAGGCACCAGGTCTGCACTTCGGGTGCCTTTGAAGCCGCGTCGGGGTTTGAGGGAAACGGGTGTCGTCACTTCGGGTTTGTGCGCGACGCCGTGTCCCATGACGCAGGGAGGATGATCGAAGTCAGTTAATTGCACAGTTAGGTTTCTGCCGAGGAAGCGTCTTGTTCCTCGTTTTAAAAGGGGATAGACTAGAAGGACTTATCGAACCCGTCGGCCTTTCATGGATAAACGCTGCCGTTGTAGTGTTTCATTTTCCAAACGACCATCGCGATGTCCTGCATCGATTTAAAGAAACGTGAAAATGCTGCTTTCTGATGAAATCACGTGAGTAACGGTGCGTTCCCTCTGCCTTTCAGTGTACGACGACATGATTTTGGCAATGAGCAGAGTCTGCGGTGAGTACCTGCCTTCTGATTTTCGCGTCGTCATGGGCTCTCGTGCCCGCGTTCCCCGGGGGGGGGGGACATTGGTCGGGGTGCACAGGCCAGGCCCAGGCCAGGGCCCTCATCCGATGGCCTCGCTGATGGTTTGTGAAGGGATCGCCAGCATCACGTGTAGAATGCGTTTTGCTTTAAAAACAACAAGAAGCCGGTTTGGGCTTCCCGCTGACCCGCTCCGTCCGTGCCTTGGGTGCATCGGGATGATGGCTTCGCACACAGCTGCTGTCAGCATCTTTATGACAAGTGACGAGTTGCAGTGATGAATTTCAAGGCTCTGTCTTTGCATCATAGGCACGAAACTGTTTTTTAGCTTTGCAAATAAATGCTCCCTCTCCACGCACCTTTCCACGGACACTGAGAACCCAGATATTGGTCGTTCGTTTGATAACGTGGCTTATGCTCGTATCGTGCTTTATGCTGAGAATCGTAACTCGCTCCTGGGGGCCTTCCACGGTTCGCTCCTGAGTTACACCTTCAGATCAGGGCGCGGAAGTTGTGGGGTGAGTGTGTGGCCGGGGGCGTCCTGTCTGCCACTGTCCCCCTACGGTCCCCCTTCATCCCGAGCTCGGTGTTTCTGGAATTCTTCCGAAACCCTCCTCATCTTTATTTTTCAATGCTTTCTCAGGACAGCTCTGCAAGGTAGGTTTTATTTCTGCTTTTGCTCGGTCTGAAAAGGGCCACGTTTTAAACACATTTCACTTTCTCTAATGATTCGTGGGACAAGGAACGCTTGACGGGCACGCAGGCCGCACTGCGAAGGTGAACCAGGCCGTTCGAGAGGGGCTTCCCCTCGTACTCCACGGGGCTACTCCGTGCAGATGTCACATAACGCGTGGACGGGCGCTCGCGGACAATGCAGCAGCCCCGCCCGACCCGCGGGTCCCAAGGCCAGGCCAGCCTGCTGTCCCCAGGGCCCTCCCGCCGCTGGGTGGGTTTGCCGTGGTGCGTCGGCTACGGGGACATTGCTGGGCCACCCAAGCTGTCCTGGCTGCCCTGGGTGTCGGTCTGTGTCCATCCTGGAGCGACACCCGTGGGTTCCCACGCCAGCTGCGTCACCCGTCATGGACCACATGTGTGGTGTCCGTCCTGTTACTCCCGGCCCTCTGTCCGTGTGTCGTCTGCACCCCGCACCCTCGGACGACCACGGACGTCTGCCCACTCAGTCCTGAGAGCGTGGGTGACGCCACACACGGTGCACACTCAGTCACCTGACACACTCCCACACGCACATAAACTCACTCACCTGACACGCTCCCCCCACACAGTCACACACTCACCTGACACACTCCCACACGCACATAAACTCACCTGACACGCTCCCCCCACAGTCACACACTCACCTGACACGCTCACACACACATACACTGTCACACAGTGTCACACACTCACCTGACACGCTCCCACATTCATACACTCACCTGACACACTCCCACACACACACACTCCCCCCCACAGTCACACACTGTCACACACTCACCTGACACGCTCACATACACACACTCCCACATGCTGTCACACACTCACCTGACACGCTCACACATACACGCTCCCACACACACACTGTCACACACTGTCACACACCTGACACGCTCACATACACACACTCCCACATGCTGTCACACACTCACCTGACACGCTCACACACACATGCTCCCACACACACACTGTCACACACTGTGACACACTTACCTGACATGCTCTCACACACACACTCCCATACACTGTCACACACTCCCCTGACACGCTCCCACATTCATGCGCTCACTCACCTGACACGCTGTGGGAGGGAGCAGAGGCCACTGCAGGTGCCTGGCTCGTCCCTGGCTCGTCCCTTGTGGCGGCCGCTGTGACGTGTGTGATGTTGCAGACGGTGCCGCCGTCGGTTCTGACGGCAGCTGCAGGGCACGGGGTTTATTTATTCGATTTTCGTTTGATGCTTTTTTTACACACGTTCATTTACGAATAAATGGAAAATAAAGTCATGGCCATTTTTTTCACTTTCAGTTTCTAGTTAGAATTACAAATACAATTTGTTTCCTGTTTTTTTCACATATTTTGTGATAATTGTGTTTTCTATAGGTTTTCTATCCACTGTTCCTAATAATAGCATAATATTTCTTGAAATCACTGTGCTATGGTGGGAATTCTTCCCTTGAGATACGAATAACATTTTATCACTATTATAAATAACGACACGGTGCACATCTTTGGGAAAGAGAGGCTTTTTTTCAACATTTGAGAATGTTTCCTTTGATCGAATTCCCTCAGGTCCGAGGACTATGCAGAATACTGTGAATGTTTTTAGGGTTAACAGAAGTGTTCGAGTTGCTGACCGCAGTTAAGAAGTGGATCGTGAAGGCCTCTTCCCCGTAACGCCCTGGTCAGCAGCTGTGGTCACAGAGTTGTCCCTCACTTTGCTGATCCCTGCGGGTCCCCCGCTGCGTGGGGGGCGGGGGTGCCGTGCGTGCGCGTGACCTCGCTGTAGGTGCCGGTGAAGGGGCCTCTGCCTCGAGCTCGGAGCCTTGGCCGCGGTCGCGGGGGCCCTGCGACGTCTTGTGTCCCCGCCGGCCCCTCCCCCAGAACGCACCCCAGCCAGAGCCGGCGGGATTCCTCCGCCCGCACCCCAAGCGCGGCCGCATTTCGCGGCGTCTCTCATGGCCTGCGGTTCCCTCCGCCTTCTCTCCTCCTCCTCGACTCGCTGGCCTGGTCTTGTGTCTCCTGGACTCCCTCGCTGGTCACTTCTGCTGACTCGTCGCCTCCCTTTTGCTGAGTTTCTACAGTACGCAGGTCGTGGACCGATCCATACAGGCTTTGCCGCGTCACAGGGCTGCGTGACGCTTTCCCCCGCCTCCCTGAGCGCAGCTGCCAGGTGGTGATTCTTTTTAAAAGATTATGTGTCCCTCACAGCATCCAGCGTAAGAGTCTTTCAGACCATTCTGGTGTGGCACGTGCTTGTTTGATGATGAGTGTGGCGTGGGGCCAGTGGCCAGAGCCTGCGGCTGACCGGCCGCGGCCGTGAGCG